TAGGACAATGTCCGACGTGGTTGACTTTCAGACCCTGCATTTGCATCTGCAAGTGAGATGGTGGCTGCCAGGATACCTTGTCCATCTGCAAGACAAAAGGCCAACTGGCGACAGGGCAGGCGGGCCGACACTCCGACCAAACCAAGCGGGTAATCTTCGGGGCATTTCGTGGCTGCTCCTTCGGCCATTCCTCCCGTCGATCCGCCATTCATGATGTTGATCCATGATGCATTCCATCCCACTCTGCAGCCATCGGATGCATGGATGATTCAGGCGGGGTGCCAGGCACCGTTGAGTTCCGGATATATGAACTCCTCCGTCTGCCCCGCTCCAACCACTTGTTTCAGTAGTAGTCCTCGACTCGAGTCAGTCTGATCTGTGATAAATTTATACTTCAATCCCTCCCTTCCCGTTCAATTACCGACGATTCTCCGCCTCTTAAACTAAACTCTGCTGCACAACCTGCAGTTAACTCGAATGCCAGTCCATCTCACTCTCGAATTACAATAAATTCACCCTCCCGTCTCCGTCACCATGGCACGTCTGGACGTGGAAAAGACCATTGAAGAGCTCACGCTGGGCGAAAAGGTAGCTCTCACAGCTGGCAAGTAACGACCTATAACCGAACTAAAAACAGAAAAGATCACTAATCATTACAACAGGCGTGGACTTCTGGCACACTGCCTCAGTTTCCCGACTGAACATCCCCGCTCTGCGCATGTCCGATGGTCCCAATGGCGTGCGAGGCACCCGCTTCTTCAACGGAATCCCAGCCGCCTGTTTCCCCTGTGCCACCGCCCTCGGAGCAACCTGGGACGCCCATTTGCTGCACGAGGTGGGCCAGCTGATGGGTGACGAGTCCATCGCTAAGGGCTCGCATATCGTGCTCGGTCCCACCATCAACATCCAGCGCTCTCCGCTCGGCGGTCGAGGCTTCGAGTCTTTCGCTGAGGATGGCGTACTTTCTGGAATTTTGGCTGGGAATTACTGCAAGGGGTTGCAGGAGAAGGGCGTTGCTGCCACGCTAAAGCACTTTGTCTGCAATGATCAGGAACATGAGCGTATGGCGGTCAGCAGTATCGTCACTATGCGTGCCCTGCGCGAGATATACCTGTTGCCGTTTCAGTTGGCTATGAGGATATGTCCTACTGCGTGTGTTATGACTGCCTATAATAAGGTCAATGGCACGCATGTCAGTGAGAATAAGGAGCTTATTACGGATATTCTCCGCAAGGAATGGAATTGGGATGGTCTGGTTATGAGTGATTGGTAAGAAATATCTATATAAATAGCTGCCCAGCATGGATATTAACAGTGCCCCAGGTTCGGAACCTACAGCACCTCCGATGCTATTGCTGCTGGTCTGGACCTCGAAATGCCCGGCAAGACACGCTGGCGTGGCTCTGCCCTGGCGCATGCTGTGTCGTCCAACAAGGTACCAGAATTCGTTCTGGACGACCGTGTCCGCAATATTCTTAACCTCATCAACTGGGTCGAGCCTCTGGGCATCCCCGAGCACGCCCCAGAAAAAGCCCTCAACCGCCCCCAAGACCGGGAGCTTCTCCGCCGCGCCGCTGCTGAAGCCGTCGTGCTTATGAAAAATGAAGATAACATTCTTCCCCTCCGCAAAGACAAGCCGGTCCTTGTCATCGGACCCAATGCTCAAATCGCCGCCTACTGTGGCGGCGGCTCTGCTTCCCTAGACCCCTACTACACCGTCTCGCCCTTTGATGGCGTCGCCGCCAAAGCCACCTCCGAAGTTCAATTCTCGCAAGGCGTCTACTCCCACAAAGAACTTCCTCTCCTCGGTCCCCTGCTTAAAACCCAGGACGGTAAACCAGGATTCACCTTCCGTGTCTACAACGAGCCTCCTTCCCACGAGAACCGTACCCTCGTCGACGAACTCCATCTCCTCCGCTCCAGCGGCTTCCTCATGGACTACGTCAACCCCAAGATCCACTCCCTCACTTTCTACGTCGACATGGAAGGCTACTTCACCCCCACCGAATCCGGCGTCTACGACTTCGGCGTCACTGTAGTCGGCACCGGCCGTCTCCTAATCGACAACGAAACCGTCGTCGACAACACCAAGAACCAACGCCAAGGCACCGCCTTCTTCGGCAACGCCACCGTCGAAGAACGCGGCTCTAAGCACCTCAACGCAGGCCAAACCTACAAAGTAGTCCTCGAATTCGGCAGCGCGCCCACCTCCGACCTCGACACCCGGGGCATTGTCATCTTCGGACCCGGCGGATTCCGCTTCGGCGCCGCCCGCCAGGTCAGCCAAGAAGAACTGATCTCAAACGCCGTCTCCCAAGCCAGCCAAGCCTCTCAAGTCATCATCTTCGCCGGTCTCACTAGCGAATGGGAAACCGAAGGCAACGACCGCGAACACATGGACCTTCCTCCTGGAACCGATGAACTGATCTCTCGCGTCCTCGATGCCAAGCCCGACAACACAGTCGTGTGTCTCCAGTCCGGTACCCCTGTCACCATGCCATGGGTCCACAAAGCCAAAGCCCTCGTCCACGCCTGGTTCGGCGGAAACGAATGTGGTAACGGCATCGCGGACGTCCTCTTCGGAGACGTCAACCCGTCCGCCAAGCTCCCCGTAACTTTCCCCGTCCGCTTACAGGACAACCCTAGTTATCTTAACTTCCGCTCCGAACGGGGCCGCGTCCTCTATGGTGAGGACATCTACGTCGGATACAGGTACTATGAAAAGACGAACGTGAAACCCCTCTTCCCCTTTGGCCACGGCTTATCCTACACCACTTTCTCCCGTAGTGATCTGAAGATCACTACTTCCCCGGAGGGTACCACCCTCACCGATAGCGAACCCATCACAGCCACGGTCAAAGTAAAGAACACAGGCAGCGTCGCCGGTGCAGAAATTGTCCAGCTGTGGGTTCTTCCCCCGAAGACGGAGGTGAACCGGCCCGTCCGCGAACTGAAGGGGTTCACGAAGGTGTTCCTCCAGCCTGGAGAGGAGAAACAGGTGGAGATTGTCGTGGAGAAGAAATTGGCGACGAGCTGGTGGGACGAACAGCGCGAGAAATGGGCGTCGGAGAAGGGAACATACGAGGTGTTAGTCACAGGAACTGGGGAGGGACAGTTGAAGGGGGAGTTTGGGGTTGAGAGGACGAGGTACTGGGTTGGGCTGTAGGAACGATGTTGAGAAGTATTGATATGTACATGGGTTATGATTGATTAGGTGATGGTCGATGAATTGAGATTGGATACTTCTATTTACAGAGATGTGTAAAGGTAGGAAACAAATAGAAGACAACATGGATTCCATACCAACGATACAATAGATCCTAGTGCATAAGATAGTAGATTAACATACGCACTACACACCTAATAAGTCTACTATTATTTACTAGCTATCACTTTGAAGTCACATTCCACTCTCTCTCTCTCTCTCTCTCCCCTCCCCCGTGCAGTTCCTTTCAACCATAGGCACTGCAATACTTAACTACATATCATCAAGCACGCCTCGTGAAAGAAAGAACTATCACAATATAATACCGTCATGGGTACATTTTCCACATACACATATGCACCCTGCTAGTTATTACTACCAGCAATGTTTGATATCCTTTTTCTATATATACTTGTATTTTTATCAAACCTGTGAACTTAACGAGCTCCTAGTTACATACCATCATTTCTTTCAGAATGTGCAGTACTACTACTTCATGTACTCTGTGATAGATGGTGATGGCAGTGGTGGTAGGAGTAATAGTAGTAGTATAGTAAACGGTAGATTGAGTCGAAGGTACTATAGGTACTACTACTAGAGATTTAGTATAGGAAGTAGTATAGTAGCTAGGAGGAGGTCAGAGGGGAGGTGCGGTTGTACTAGCTATAATTGGATTCCCCTTTTTTTGTTATTTCTTTTTCTCTACTTTTTTCAATTGAGGCTATTGTGTCTGTACTATTTACAGTAATAGTTTCTTAAAGGGGATATGAATCAGATTGAATGATATAGGGTATTATACTTGTTTGCTTTGTCTTATTATGACTTCTTATGAGGACTGCATTGGTGTATGGTATCCTTATTATCTGTCATCTATGTGGTTGATTGAAATAGAGTAATTAATCAGCTCGCATCTTCTCTAATACTTCCCTATGATAGACTATACGACCTAGTCAACACTGGAATCTACAAGTACACAGACGATGTGATTCCCTTGAACTAAAAGGGGATGGGGGTTTTTCAGTAACACCTTGATGATACTACACTCGCCGATAATATTCCAGATAGGGTTCATTCCCTCGATCGATGAAAGCGGGAAAAAGAGTCTGGACTCAGACTCAGATCCCACAAACTGCGTTTGAGGCTGTCTGTCACAATGAGCTGGGGTTTAATTGTGCTGGCTGTGGCTGGGACCCTAGAAGCTAATTGATTGCTTGTCAGACTATCAGCAGTAGGGACATGACCATGGCGCGGACCATCCTTTTCATCGTTATGATGGGCCATACAAATCACTCATGTAGTATATAGTAAACGACTAGAGCACCCAATTCTCAGACACGGAGCAAAGCCCATATTTTGAAGTAATGATTGACTGAAACTTTGCTTGGTTCCTTTTCACCCTCCTTTAATTCACAGTCAGTGCAGGATTGCCCCCACAATGTCTCCAAAGACCTCTATCATCACCACATACCTCCTCGCCCTCCTCGCCAGTCTAATCTCAGCCCAAACTGTCCGAGAACATCCCGACAGATTCTGTCCCTCCAAAAATGGACAGGAGGTCCAACTGGAGAAGAGACTATTTGTCACATACCACTGTGGAAAGGCCCCCGAGGACTGGGATCTTCTGGAGAGCTACCCTGCAGCGATGGATCCTGAAGCCTGCAGTCGCGCCTGTGTAGCCAACTCTACCTGCAAAGGAAGTCTATACAGTGCGCAACCGGCGAACCGCAGGGCTCCGTGTTTCTTGTATTCGGGTGCCACTGAGCCGGTTCTTGAAGATATGGATCGTGTGTTGTGGATGTCGTATCGGAAGGTTTCGCCTTTGGACCCGGTTGATTGTAAGGAGGAGCTTGAGTTGGTGGGGGAGTTGGAGGATAAGGTCAGTGGTTTACAGAGGGAGATGGAGCAGTTGAAAAAGGACTTGGAAGCTTGCCAGGCCTCTAGTGGTGGCGAGGAAGGAGATGGAGGCGATAACGGAGGAGGGGAAGAGGGAGGTGAAAATGCTGGTAACGACGGCGGTTCAGGAACTGGACCAAATGATGCTGTTTGTGAGTGTTCGCCCTCATATGAAATGTTTGAAGACACGAAGCTACCTTGGTATGCTGACAAACATCCACCTCCATCAGGTCCTCGAAATGATGAAAACGTCTTTAGCTATGAGAGCAGAAGATGGGAGCTGCACACTGACAGATGTATGAATATCCCCTCCTGTCTGCACTTGTTAAGCAGCTTCGATGCCTTTCTTGATCTCCACTAACCCTGCATAGATACCCGTTATGGAACCGGTGCGAACAATGACCTTGGCAGGGATTCCCCCTACCTCAATATTGCGGAATGTATTCACCAGTGCTCCCAACTACCCAAGTGTAGGATGGTATACTTCCATAAAGGTCTCCGCACTTGTTTCTTTGCGACCAGACCAGGAACTTTGAGTGGACGTGCTCCCGATTATGACGCTGCCTGGTTCTTGGGTCCTAGAATGAAGCCGTCGCTATTCACTGTGCTGTCGGTGCTGTCGAAGTCTGCCCGCATTCGAAGTGCTTCATATTTTTGGAGGGTCTCGAGATTGGAAGTGTCGGTTGCTTTATTCTGTTGGCGATTCCAGCTCTATGATGTGTGGATTAGCGTTGATCGTAATCAACGAAGTACCAAACTCGTATATTCAAGCGATTTCCCCACAGTCTTGTCAATGTGGTGACTGAAAGCAACGGAGGTTACGAGTAGGAGTGGCCGGTTTGGCGCTGAGCTCTGGGACCCATCTCCTTGCCAAATCATCAACGTTTGACGTCTGCACTTCGCATCGAAGATATGTTACCTGAAGCCTGCCCACAGAGATAACATTGGCTTTGGGCGTCACATGTCTCCCATTTCGCTGTAAGCATTGTTCAGACCCGAAGACTCCATTCGAATGTTGTAGTAACAGGGGATAAGAGGGAAACCGAAAAGGAGCCTGGCAAATAAAGCGCGAGGCGTCGAAGGAAGAAGCGAATCGACCAGAGATAGTATCAGGAGGCGAGCAGCAATAGATGATTGATTGTAACTGCGACGATTGGAAGCCATGCCAAACGTGAATTGCTGCTTGTAGGCACTAGTAAAGGGCCAAATAAACATGAAGGATACCAAATCTCTCGCAAGACCAGTCTGATAATCACATGATGATCATGCCCTGCGCTTTGTTTGTTCCAGGTACAACATAGTTAACAAGATGTAATATGGTATGAGTCATTCAATGGCTTTTGTGTAGAAGGTATCCGTCAAGAGAAGTCTTTGATGAAGATGACCTAGGGTCAGACAGTCTAGAGCACCCATAGTTATCTCCCTGTAATCATAGAATGAAGGAAGAATCCTTGCAGTGACAGTGTCATGGAAGTCACCGTAAAGTTGCATCTCTGAGGTAGATAGAGCGCATGAGTCTAAGTAACTCTGCAATTGCTTGGAGCTCCGTTCCAAACAAGACTTGTTGGGAGCAAACAATTACAGTCGCACGGAGTATACCGCTCTTCACCTGAGACTGGGAGTAGTATAATATTTGGATCTAGACCGAGTTGTTATTCCCGTTTGGTCCAGGTGCAACGCTGCTGTACATACCGTATTCTTATTACTTTGCTGCCAGTGCCTATGCCACTGCTGCTGCTGCTGCTGCTGTTGTTGTTCCAATCCCGACCGAGGCATTTTGGAGGGCTCTTCCCTGGTCAACCCACACCAATACCGTCATTCTGACGGCCATCACGACTTCTATCTTGGTATCCCCCCATCGTAACACTCTTGAAGAGATGATCTCTGCTATTCCTCGATACAATTTGCTTGAGATATCGTCCATATGGCCGACAACAAGGAAGATGCCTTCACGCGGTCGGGTACAGTCCCCTTGATCAAGGGCAGATGAAGCTATTCATCAGATATAAATATCCCCTCATTATCCAGACAATGAGTTGGAGATAGATGCAGAATCAACCGGTTTCTCATAGCCACCTGGTTCTACTTTCGGTTCCTCAGCCCCCTGCAAAAGATCATTCACAGATCTGCCTCTCACCAAAAACAACCTTCTCCTCCCTTCCAGCAACTACAACGCACTGCCATCCAGGCCCCTGCTTACAGCAATGGCTTCCATCATGAACGATGAGCATCAGCATCAGTCATCGACCAATGACCCAAGGGAAGTTGAGGAGAAGCTATGCCAGCTAATGAAGGACAATTTGCACACTACCGCAAACGATCCCACTGAAGCTGAGAAACAACCTCATCAGCCAGATTCCTCTCCTCCTCTCGACGGTCCTCCCACCGACTCGTCTTCGAGCCCCCACGACGACAACAAGACGAACGAAGAAGCGGATGAACCGAGAATCCAAGCAAAGGAGGCAACTGGGCTCAACAACGACCCGTCTCCAAGCCCCAACGATGACAAGAAGACGGACAAACGAGCAGATGGAGAAGCGGATGAATCGACAACCCCAGCAAAGAACGAAACCAAGCCCGCCGACGACGAGCTGTCCCAGTCATCGGAAGACGAGTCGAACTCCCCCGAACCAGACCCAAGCGAAACCAAAGCCGACAGACTGCGGCGCGAGCGACGGGCCGAGTTGGACGATTATATCAAACGGGATCGCAAGGATCTAATGCCGCGCCATATCTGGCAAATGGAGCAAGACTTCCAACGTACAGACTGGCAGGCTTGCGCTACAGATCCATCTTATCAGCCACCAGTAGGCACAGAACTGGAATTGAGCGAAGCCGAAGCTGAAGAGCTACAGCGCCAGGAACGAGAGTGGTGTAGGTCATATGAGGAGAACATGAAATGTGAAGATTTTTGCGGGATACCAGACGAGGAATGGTTGGCCGATCTGAAAGCAGAGCAGACAAGTAAAAATGAAGCGGCGGACGAATCGACAACCCCAGCAAAGGAAGAAACCAAGCCCTACGACCAGATGCCTCAGCCATCAGGAAATGAGCCGAATACCCAGCTTTGTCCAAGCGAGACCAAAGCTGACAGAATGCGACGTCAGCGCCGGGCCCAGTTGGATGATGAGATCAACATCAATCGCAAGCATTTATTGCCCCGTCTTGTCTGGCAAATGGAACAAGACTTCCGACTTACAGACTGGCAGGCTTACGCTACAGATCCATCTTATCGGCCACCGCTTGCTACACGACTGGAACTGAGCGAGTCTGAAGCTGAAGAGCTGCGGCGCCAGGAACGGGTATTCTGGGAGCAAAAAGACTTGCCATATGACAGAAACTCAAGGATTATGCCACTGGAATATGAGGGAATTATACCCGATGACGATTGGTTTTACGATCTAAAGGCCGAGCCAATGAGTAGAGAGGAAGAGCGACGCTACTATGAGCAAAAGTCCCGTACGAAGATAAGTGAGGGTTATGAGGATGATCGGAATATTACAGCGGTCGCTCCAAACGAAGCCGAAAACAGCCTTGCTAGCGACCAGATTAGAACCGATTCTTTGGTGCCTTTCTTTGACCTCTTTCTTGGGGATATTTTCCAGTGCTACGACTGTTGACTACCAGCGAAATGGTCATTGAGATCAGTCGTGGTCCGGTTTTCTCTAGCTACCTGGACCAAGGATTGCCCCTTCCCGCAATCCCTCATAAATAAGTCGTTCGTTCGGTTCATCAATATAACTCATTCTTTTCAGTTGCACCATCTAGAAATAAGAAGCATAATATTCAAAATCAAACTCCTCCAAAGTGCCAAATTCCCATCACCTTAATAGTCGCCCAAAAAAAAGCATCGAAATTTTCAAAAAAAGACCATGGCTTTGAATTCAATACTCTGTCGTGGAGCACCACTTCCATCTAAGCGGAACGAGGCATGTGGGACACCTTTGTCGAAAACCATTACTATATTAGCCACAGCTATTGAATCATGTGAGACAAATGACGCTGGCATACCTGGTTTATTATCGAATCTGTTACCCCCTTGATAGAAGATCCAAGCCTCAGACGGCTGTTGGTTGCTTTTATAATACCACTTTTGGGAGTTGTTTTGTTGCAAATCGCAGTTCTGGCCGGGGATGTTATCACTGTGATATATCACAGGAAGTACATCATCCGGCTCCACGGAACTCGGTTCGCAAAAGGCTAAAGGATACATAGTAGGCCGCTGGTGGAAGTTACCGGGAGTTGTGGCCAGTTATATAACAGTTCCCAATGATTACTGACTAAGATAAATTATAAATATTCTATTATACTGTACATAATAATTATACTAGTATTTATATATTACTTTAAAACTATATTCAAGAAAACAACAAGAGATTAACTATTTAAAATTTATTTTAAAATTATTTATTACTATTAAAAGCCTATTACTTTTCTATCTCTAATCTATTTATAAAGAATTATATTATTATTATTTTTTTATATTAACTAAATTTTCTACAGGTTATTCACTGTTATTTTATTATTAATTTATTATTATTTTATTCTTTTCTTATATATATTATATCTTTTTCTTTTTTTATTTTTTTATTTTTTTTTTATATTATTTTTTTATTTTTTCTCTTCTTCTTTCTCTTATTTATTTTATTTTTTTTTTATTTTTTTTATTTCTATCTTTCTTTTCTTATATTAAAATAAAATAGTTAAAGCAGTAATAAATTAAACTAGAAATAAACTAAAAAACTTTTATAGATAATATAAGAAAACAGTACTAATATAAAAAAAATAAATAATAAAAATAATATAAAATTCTTCTTAATAAATAATAATATAGTAGAAATAATTATAATAAAAATAATTATAATACAGAAATTAACTAAGAAAAATAAAAAAAAATTATAAAAATTATTAAAACTTAATTTTAAAAATAACTAGAGAGACTGGTTATTATTTAATTTAATTAAATTTTATTAATTTAAATTTTAAGATTATATAATAAAAAATTTAATTAATAATTAAAAATAGAAAACTAGACTTATCCAGATCTAAAAACTTATAATTAAAAAAAAATATAAAATATTATTAAATATAACTATTAATATATTAATAAAACAGAATAAAATCTTAATAAATATTTTATTTATTTTTTATATAATATAAGATCAGAAAACACGCAAAGACTAAAAAAAGTATTTTATTAAAAAAACTTTTCTAAAAATACTATAAATATAATAATATAAATTTTAAAAAATATTTTAATATAAATATATAGCTCATCACAGATTAATAAGTTAAGTAATAATAAAATTATTTTTAGGATAATTCTATTAGATAAAAATTTAAAAATATTTTATAAAAAACTTTTACAGTTAATTCTAATAATTAAAATAATAAAATTATAATTTATTAAAATATATAAAACTAAAGTATAGTAAATAATTAAAATAAAAATTAATTTTATAGCTAAAAATAAGTCAGATATAAAAAAAATTTTAAAACCAGTATTAAATAAAAAATTTTTATTATTATTATTTATTATTAATAATAAATCTCCAGATCTATTAAAAGTATAGTAATTATAAATCTTAATCTAGAAGTATAAGCTATTAAATAATTAATAAAAACTAATTTTTAAATATTAGTTAAAGATATTTAATTTTAAAAATCTATTTTAAATCTATATTTATATAAAAATTATTTTATAATTATTAAAATCTCAAACCATAGCTTAAGCAGAGAAAATAATTATAATTATTAAAAATATTAAAAATAGTAACAGTACTGAAATTATTGAAAATATTAAAATTAATAAAAATAATAAGATTATACCAAGAAAACTTAAATATATAAAAAAAAAAATAAATATTTTAAAAATATTTAATAATTATATATTTAAATTAAATATATACCAAGCTGCAGAGAATCTGTAATAATCTTTTAATAATAATATAAATTTAAATAATTTACTTATATAATTAATATTAAAAAATTATAAGAAAATCTTAATATATAAAAAATAGTTAAACATTTAAAAATATTAATTTAATAACTATAAAAAAACCTGCAGAAATCTATATATTAAAAATCTAGTAAATTTTTATATAAAAAAGATATTATATAATCAGGAACTGAAATTCTAGTAATCTATATATATTAATTATATTATTAAAATTATATAATTTAATTTATTATATAAAGTAATCATTACAAATATTATCAGTATTAGAAAGATCTAAAAAATTATTATATTTTTTTTATATATAAATATTTTTTTAGAAATATATAAAAGATTTTTACAGCTAATATAATATAATAATTAAATAAATTTAAATATAAATTTATTACAGCTGAGAAAGACAGGTTAGATTTTTTAAAAAATTATTTTATAATTATTATTATTTTATCTTATCTTATCAAGCAATAGATAAATAAAATTATATTAATAATTAAGAAATTTTAGATATTATTTTATTATAATAATATATATTACCAGACCAGAAACTATATTAAAAATAAGTTAATAAATAAATATAAAATCTTTAAAAACAAGCTGATAAATATATATATTATTATAATAATTTTTTATTAAATATAAAAAACCTACCACAGCCTCTAAATAATAAAAACTTAGTATATTAATAAAAAAAAATTATATAATTTAATTAATTTTTATATACTTACAGATTTCCCAGGCAATCTGAAGAGGTACTTTAAAATTATTATATTTAATAAAATTTATTTATTATATAATAAAAAATCAGATATTTTATTTATTTATATTTAATTATATACCAGATTCTGTGTCCTGTTAATAATTATACTTTTTTATAATAATATATATAATTTTCTAGAATATATAAGACTTCTTTTATTTTTAAATTTTAATATAAAAACAATATTTACTAGTAGTTATATATAATAAATTATAAATATTATTTCAGAAATACAGAATAATTAATTATTTTATAACTAGAAATTCATAATAAAATATATCTTTAATAAAAAAGTATAAGATACTAATACTATTTTATATTAATTAAAAAAATTATTTTAATATCTTATAATCTAGTATATATAAGACTTTATTTTATTAATTAAATTAAATAATAAGATCAGGACAGATATTTCTTCTATATTTAAGAAAATATTATATTTAAATTTTAAATTAGAAAAATTTATAATATACTAGATTTATAAAATCATAAATTACAGAAATATTTTTATTATTAATTAAAAAAAATTAAATTATATTTATTAATACATGAGCCGTCTTTATAAACTAATTCTAAATTTATTATAATTAAATTTTATTAATATTAAAAACAGCCTGTTTATTTTTATTATTATAAAATTATTTAATATTATCAGATAATATAAGTAAATAATTTATATATATCTAAATCTAAAAATAAAAACTATAGTAAAAAAGAATTTTATAAAAAACTTTTATATATAAATAAAAAAGTATTATTCTACTAACATCTTACTTAGTAATAATAATAATAATATATTATAATTTAATATAGAAAACCTGGAATAACTTCTATAGAATACTTTTAAAATATATATTATATTATTAATTATTTATGATCAGGTATTTCTCAAGAAAAAAAAAATCTTTTATTTAAATTTATTTTTCTAGAAAAAAAATATATATTTTTATTATATTTATTAAAACTGGCTTAGATCATACAGTTATTTATATTAAATTAATAATTAAAAAAAGATTTACTATTATTAAATTATTTATTAAAGACTTTAATAAATATATAATACTAATTATAAACTACTTAGTAAATTTAATTAATTTAAATTTATAAAATCTTTATTATAATCTATATTTATTTTCTTTAGCTATCTTAAAAGTTATAAAAAATTAGATTATAAATTAAATACTATATATAAATTAAATTTATATAATTTTTATATACAAGTATTATGTGCCTAAAATCTTTAATATTTATTTAATAAAAAAAAATATATAGAAAATCTTATTAAATTTTATTATAATAATATATATTAAACTAGCCCCCGCGCTAAATAATTTAAAAAAAAAAATTTTAATTAAAAAATAAATTATATAAAATAAAGAACTAGTAATACTAGATAAGAATAAAAAGTTTTAGAAAAATAATATTATAAATATTAAATTAATAATAGAACAGATAGTATATGAAATTATATATAATTTTATAAAAAATAACTAAAATCTTTATAATTCCTGACTATTAATTATCTTAATTTTATTAATAATAATATAAAATATTTAATAAAAAACTTTTATAAAACATACTATAAGTATGAAAATAATTATAAATTATTAATTATTTTAATATTATATTATATATTTCTAATCAAAATATACTAGTATAGAATATATACTATAAATATTATTTTATTTAAGTTTACTTTCTAAGTAAAACTAAATATAATTTTTATAAAATAAAAATAAAATTCTAGTTCTTAAAAATAATAATCTTTTAGTAATTGAAGAACTTATATATAAAATAATAAAAAATCTTAATAATAGTAATATAGTTAATATTATAAATATAGATAAATAGAATAATCTAGCTAATATTTACATAGATAATAATATTCTGAAATTTATTAAAAATATTATATATACTGATCTAGAGATAATTAGTATTAATATAAAATAATATCTTATTAATATAGATAATATAAAAAGAATATACATAAATATAAAAATAAAAATTTTTCTTATTAATAATCTTCACGAGGTATCTAGATAAATATATTAATAAATAAAAATTAAATATAATAAAATTAATAAATTAGTATACTTATTAATATAAATATAAATAATTTTAAAAGTCTCAGAGAACAGCTATTTATATTTATTAAAAATAAAATAAATATAAAAAAAAAAGTTATTAATATTAATCTTTTTATATCCCAGATTAAAAATATAGATATTAAAATTAGAAATACTATAATTAAACCAAGATTTAAAATATAATTTTAATTTAAAAATTATATCAGCTATCTTTATTTTTATATTATATTATATCTAATAAAAAATTCTTTTTTTTATATAATTATACTTATCTTATTCTTATAATAATAATAATATTTATTTTAATTATTAGAAATACAGCAGCCGTCCTTTCTATAAAAAATAAAATTATAATTATACTGTAAAAAACTTCTATAAATAACTTATAAATAATTATAAAATAAATAAATTAA